GCAAATTTAAATGACTAGTGATGGTAAACATTTTTTTCATATAGTTATTTGCCATTTCTATTTCTTTGTTTGAGGAGGATCTATTCATTTCAGATGCCTACTTGTGGAATCAGTTTTTTAACTGGGGCTTATAATTTTTTGTGTTGTTTACATATTTTAGATATTTGTCTGAGGAGCAACTGACAAAATTTTTTCCCACTTTGTGAGTTGTCTCTTCATTCTGTTAGTGATTTCTTTTGCTGCAAAATCACCTAGAAAAATCAGAAAAGAATGAAAAAATATTTTATTAGTTATTCCACAGAAAAAGGAATTATATCTAGAACACATAAAGAATTGAAAAAAATCAGACCCCTGTTTTCAGACTCAATCCAAAATTGGGCATCTGAGATGAATATGCACTTCTCAAGTGAAGAAATACAAATGGCAAATAAATGCATGAAAAAATATTCAACATCATTAGTCACTCAAGAGATGCAAATTAAAACATCAACATTTCGTCTCTAGAAAGAATGGCTAGTATCAAAAAGACAATGAATAACAAAAGCTGGGTGGGGACATGGGGAGAGGAAATGCTGCTCCACTGTTGGTGGGAGTGTAGAGTGCTGCAACTACACACAAAGAATTGGAAATCAATATGGAGATTACTCAAAAAGCTAGGCTAAAGGTCTCATTCAATCCAGCTATTCTCCTTCTATGTATTTTCCCAGAAGAATTAAAAATCATACCACAGCAATATATGTGCACCCATATTTATAGCAGCACAATTTTTAATAGCTAAATCTTGAAAACAACCCAAACACCCATCTACTGAGTAATAGAGAAAACAAATGTGGTCTTTTCGTGCAATGGAATACTACTCAGCCTTAAACAAGGATAAACTTGAGACTTTTATGAGTAAATCGATGCAACTTGAGACCATGATCATAAATGAAATAAATCAGACCTACATGTGTAAATATCGTATTGTCTGCCTGGTTTGCAAATTGAAAAAGTAAATACATTCCAAAATGTGCAATGGATATTGTGAAATGGGAAGAAGTTGTTCAGAATAGGATGTGGGAAAGGGGAAAGGAAGGAAAGGAAAAGGATAAAAAATGCCAGTTACATTTACTGCTAGTAATATTTAGTTCATTGAAAAGAAAAGTTTGTGCTAATATTGTTTACAGAATTTTTATGCCCATTTCTCTGCTTCTGAGTAATTACTGTGAAGATAACAATATGTAATGTAATTACTACTTATTATTCTCCTCTTATTCTGTTATGAAATTGTTCTACATTTTTTTATAAAAATAAAAAAGAAATACATTCTTATTTTAAAAAAATGAGATCATGGTTTTTGATTCTTTGTAATATTTCTTTGTGTTTGAGGTTTTATTCATAAAAATTTTATTACATCTATGTCTTCAAGAGTTTACCTATTCTATCTTCTAGCAGATGTAGTGTTTCTATTTTGATATATAGTTTTTTGATCCATTTTCATTTTAGTTTACTAAATAGTGAGAGATATGGGTCTACTTTTAGTCTTTGTCATGTGGAAAGTCAGTTTTCCAGCATGATTTACTTAAGAGTCTTTCTTCCGGTGAATGTGTTTAGCTCCTTTGCTGAGGATAAGGTCACTTAATGTGTCTCGAGTTATTGGAGTTATTTTGCATCTTATAATCTGTTCCATTGATATTGGGTCTGTTTTTTGTTTTTACCTGTACCATGATGTTTTTATCACAGTGGTCTTGTATTATAATTTCAAGTCAGGGATTGTGATGCCCCTTGCCTTGTCTATGTTGCCTAGAATTACTTTTGCTATTCTAGGTCTCTTCTGGTTCCAAATGAAATTTAGGATTGTTTTCTCTCTACAAAGTGTGCTACTGGTATTTTGACTGGGATTGCATCTGTTTAATAATTTTGCTTCACAATTTTAGAAATATGGCCATTTTCTTTATGTTGGTTCTAGTTACCCAAGAACAAGTGATATTTTCCATTTTCTGGTATCCTCTTCAATCTCCTTTTTTAGCGTACTGTTGTTTTCAAAATAAAGATTTTTTTCTTCCTTTCTTAGATTGATTCCTAAGTATTTCACTTTTTTTGATGCTATTGTGAGAGGTGTAGTTTCCCTAATTTCTCTCAGTTAGTATTTTATTTGTTTACAGGAATGCTATTGATATTTGACTGGTGGCTTTGTATCCACCTATGCTATTTATTTTAGTTATTAAATCTAGAAGTCTTTTGGTAGAGTTTATGTGGTCTTCTACATAGAGTATCATGTCATCAGCAAATAATGATAATTAAAGTTATCTAGTTGCTCTGGCTAATGTTTCCACAACTATATTGAATAAGAGTCATAGCATACATCCTTGTCTTGTTTCTGACTTTAGCATGAAATATTTCAATTGTAGACCATTTAGTAAGATGTTGGCCATTGGTTTGTCATAGATGACTTTTATCAGATTGAGATAAAGAAAATCTATTTATTTTTCAAATAAAATGTTCACTATTGCAAAACACTACTTCAATGAATGTGGCAGTATGTGTCCCATTGGTTGAAAGGTATTCTTAAATATTTTCAATATGCATAAATATAGTAATTCACCTGGGACTACTTTGAGGAACAAGACTTTCTTCAATAGCAGAAGGATGCATATCTAAGCTCACCAATAATACATTAGTCTGTGTACCATTAACTTTTTTCTCTGTCTGACTTATCAATTACTGAGAAAACATAAACACAATTCTACATTTGTGAGTGGGAAATTATGACGTCAACTCTGTCAATTTTTGCTCATATTTTGCTGTTTATATTTTATAATGTTAGATTAATTGAGATTTTAAATTTTTATATAACTAGTGATTTTCTCCCCTTACCACTCCATTGTCATTCACTCTGTCAGAGAGATATTTTAAGTAGGGAAGGCTATGATCCAAAGGTTTTATCATTACCCTGGCTGTGGGACGGAGAAGGGAATGTAGGAAGGAAGGAACAAAAGATTGTGATTAAACAGGAATCACCTGAAAGCATCTAGTAAAGAGATAATGAAACCTTGAACTAAGTTTTGTTTTCCTAAGTGAGGATGGCCTTAGATTTGTGATATGTTTCCAGTAGTCAAGATTTTCTCATTAGCTGAATATGAATGTGAGAAAAAAGAACTTTCGACTTGAGCAACTGACTGGAAGGAGGAGTGTCTTTGTCTTCTAAAATGAAGGTTTGACACAGTATTTTCCAGAAGTAACTGCACTGAGATCCCCAGGCTCTTTCCAACCTTGTCATCTCACAGGTGGACTCTATTGTTATCTTCAACCTGGTGTACGCTTTCTGACTTCTTTAGTTAGTATAATGTGGAACCATCAAAATGATTCCAGCCAATTTCTGAGGGTCTTTCTGGTTCTCGGTTCGATAAATCTGCCTGGAAACACAACCACCATGCTGTCAAATTTCATATTTGTGAAAAATGTATCAAATAGCTTGCAAATAATTGCTATTTTCAGTTTTCAACCTTTGGGGTTGTTTGCTGCAATAGACAACCAGAAAAGATATATGAAAAAATGCCTTTCAGAAAGAGCATTAGATAAAGAGAGTTGCCTTTGGACTTTATTAAATTTGAGACCCAGGATAGTCATTTTTTAAAAAGATTTCAACTGTGTTCAGTTGAACAAATGTCTAGAGTTTTATGGTATCATTAAACCTACAAGTGAAAATTTTGGAATTACTGGCATGCAGATGTTATTTAAATATTCAGGACGAGGTAAATTTATCATAGGAGTCTATTAGTAAGAAAGAAAATAATGTCATTGATTGCTATTTTTAGACTTAGGTTATTGTGATTATTGTAAGGTAATCTAGATTACCTTCGATTACCTGTGATTATTGATTCTCTAACCCATTGATTTTTCTACTCAATAAATATTTCAGCGCATTTTGTATATTTTTAACTCTGTTATGTTTCAGGCATGTTTCTGCCTATATGGGTTCATGTTTGCTACGGTTGTTGTATGAATTGGTTTCACTTCAAACTCACTTCATATAATAAGTTGGGTACTTCTAGACTTTTTTTCAATAATAACTCTACTTTCTATCACATTTTTACAAAGAGATTTACATTTTATTTTTATCTAGACTTGTCTATGTGTCTTATGCCTATCATGAATATGTGTACTAAATTTAGTTTAAGACCTCCTAGATGGTCCCACTGACCTGCTGATACATTTCATTCGTGAATGTATGTATCAACCCATTGAGCACCTGTCATTCAGTTTGGTAGAAGTAAGAGGATTCCTGTAGCTGCTGGAGAAGGAACACAAGGAGGTTGTGGACCAGAGGCATCCAGAGAGCTTCTTTGGGTTTGACTCTTTATGCTTTGATATTTCTCATAAATGTTCTAACTAAGAATGTAAAGATCAGTGAACTCAAGTGCACTTGAAAGAAGTGAATTCAATAGCACTAAGGGGTAAAATTCCCCAGCTTTCTGTAAGACCGGATCACTCCTAAGAAATCCAGTCTTTGGCCAGGTGTCATGTGCAGATGTCTTATAAAAGAATTCAGTTTAGTTTAATGTTTGGTACAACTAATGCTAATTGGAAGGATAAATGTCAGAATGCAAAGATATACCTTAGAAGTCCCAGGAAGCATTAGATGAATGAACTGTATTTTATATTCTTTTCACCATTTACCCTCATGTGTAGATGTACTGAACTCCATAATTTAGAAAAATAATTTTAAAAAGCTGAACACTTAGTCAAAGTTGTTAAAAATGATATCTATCTAGCATTTGCTATTATTCTTTAGGTATACTCTTTTATTAACTATCTAAAATAAGCCTGCAAGACAAAAGATGACAATGTTCTCATTCAAATGTAATACCTGTCTCCTGTACAACGTTCAAGCCAGGATTTAACAAACATAGCCCCTATGGCTTCAGAGGAGGGGCTTCTCACTCTCTTCTTCTAAAGGAAACCTTGAATCTTAGCACTCTCATCCTGGAAGGAAAGCCAAACACTCGGACATGAAGAGATTTTTTTTTTTCCAAGTCCAGTAAATAGCAGAGTCAGGATTTAAACTTGGTTCCATCTGGTTCCAAATCCAGGGATTTACCCATTCCCCCACTCCATATCAGCCATTTTTAATCCTCATCACTGTAAGCAGGAGTCATGTTCTTCCCCAGCAATACTGCTGGCCAGGACAGCAGGAGCTTCTGTCCACTCCAAAATACTGAGTGGAGACATTCCACCATTTCTTTACATCTGAGATATTCCCTTCTAGAAGAAAAATTGGAGATTTCGAAGAGTTACTTTGTTGCCCAGTGCTGGGTCTTTCTTATGGGATAGGCCAGCATGCAAATCATATACTCTTCTTGATGGGCAAGTTAACATTTCTGTGAGAAGAACACTGCAACCCTGCCGCTGTGCCTGTGTGGAGATTGGTCAGTGGAAGTCAGCAGAAAAGGAAAAGAGATTGTTATTTTGGTCACAATTCCAAACTGCTAATATTACTTTTTCAGTAACAATTTTTTCCCTTTACCTTATATCTTTTTCTGTGTTTCAGTTATTTCAACATACAGCGAAAGAGAAAGGCAACACCAGTTGTAGAGAAAAGTGTGGATTGGCCATTTCTAGAAAAACTTATCCCTCAGTATTTTCTAAAGTAGTAGAAAACTCATTTTCAAGACTCCAACTCTCTGCTTCCAGATATGTTGCATCTTCTAAGCTTCTTCTATACAGAAATTGTGGAGTCTGGAGAGGCAACTGGGAGAAAGTATTAATTACACAGACTGTACTACAAACTGCAATTTGATTACCATTCAGTTACAATCAAAACTCAAACATTTATGGATTACCTTAACCAATTTTCACCTACAAAGCTTATTGGACACTTCTGGAACAGATATAATGATCTGAACATTGACTTAAATCACAGTGCTAGCAAATCTGAGTGTGTTGGGAGAAAGTGTCAGGAATTGGATGAGGCACCGTATCAATGCCACCATCACTCATTTTAATTTCCATGAAATAGTTGATTTCCTTCATACCCGACATAATTCCTTCTAGGGTTCCTGAGCCTGAACGAATGTGCATGACCACTCCATGGCAAACACGCATCTGTCCAAAGAGAAGATGAGGAGCTAGTGAAATTAGACCGTGGCTCTCTAATTCCCCTTAAAAGCTGCCAGTGAATGAGAGCATCAGCTGTACCATATTGGGTTAAGTAGGCCTCTCTACACCAGGCGATGAGGCACATCCTGTAATAGGGATGACTCAGCATCAACAGGTGTCTGCTGGCTTTGCCAACCAACCGCCTGTTGCAATGGACTAGAGCAGCAGCACATTCTTGATACCTTGCAAGGACTGGGAAAAATAGCAGGTCTGTGTCTCTTCACAGAGGGCAGGGATTTGATTGAGGGCAGATGTGCAGGGCAGACCCGAGTGCATAAATGCATGTCCTCAAAGCCAGTACTGCCAACTGCCACACCAGCAGCCTGTTGGTTTTCACTCTCTAGTTCCATGGAATCTCTGAGTCAACATCAACTGTCAATGAAACTACTTATAGCAACACCATACAAATGCCAGAAATGTTACAAATCAGCTTTTCAAAATTCTTTTTTATTTTAACTGTGTATATAGTACCCCATAAACAACCTTGCATGCTATACAAGTTTTGATGTTATGATGTATATTATACAGAGAAATAAACCGAGGCTCAAAAACAATGAATTCTCAAAGTTACATAGTTCATCCAAGAAGAAGCAGGGAAGATCTGAGTTGCTTAGTTTTCAACCATGTATTTTTTCCTAATACTCTGAACTGCTAAATACATGATTAACATTTAATTTTCAGAGACTTTTGGGAGAATAGTTGAATTAAACTCTTCTGGAATTGATAGAATTGAAGAACAATAATCTCTTGATTTATTCACTTGGAGCAGTTAAAGAAAAAGAGATACAGATTACCTTACTCATACAGATATTGTTCTGGTCATCTATTAGCCATACACATTTCTCAGCTAGTATTGTGGAAATTACTTATGGTGTCTCAAATAATATGTATTAGTATGATCATATCCTTGTTCCTCCATCTTTAACTATAAAACATAATTACATTGCTTAGTTTTAGAAGTATATATATGTATATATAGCAAAATAGATATATAGATATATATATATATCTTTATATATATATGTATAGTTGGAGAGAAAGAGAGAAAGATTCCTATAGACCACAGGATAGATATATAGGTATAGAAATAGACGATGATATAAATATAGATTATAAAGATAGATACAGATAGATATAGATATAGATATAGACATAGATCCTGATAGGAGATCCAGAAATGCTTCTGTGACTCCATAATCATGAGAGCCCCCATATCATTTTATCTTTCTATTCTGCCATTCTACACTTCCATCTTCTCACAGTTTAAGCTGTTTAATTTTATCTTCACAATTCAGTCCCAATAAAAATATTCACGTAATATCCAATATAAAAGAGAAAGGATGCAGAAAAGATCATACCTATCTCCTTTATAGATATTTCCTGGTAGTTACACATAGGGGTTCTTATAACCTATTAGGCAGTGCTTACATGACCACACCTGTCTACAAGAGGCTTAAAGATGGGTCTACAACTTGGAAACCATAGGTCACACTACTATTGGAAAGGTTTATAACAGGGAGAGTTGGGGAGATTAGATCTTGGTCTACAAATAATGGTGGCTACACATCCTCTGGAGACTCAGTCTGTGTGAAATCAAATGGAAAATATAACACTGAAAAGTATAGGCAACACACAGTGAAAAGCATTTCCAAAAGCAGCAACACTGAGGCTAATTTCTTAGTGCTTTCAAAATATGATTCTCTGAAATAAATATTTTATGTTTTATTTCTTAACTCTCATTTACAAAGGCTCTTTAAGAGAGTCACTATTTACCTGGCAATTTTACCAGTAAAGAAACTAAGATATAAGCATATTAAATCCATTACCTAAGGCTTCACAACAAGAACACTACAGAGCTGGGATCCATATCAATGTCATTGTTATCAACTATTGCCTTGCATTAGCTTGAAGACAATCACATTTCTGTTATCAGAGAAACTCAATATGAGTCCTGTTTAATTTATAAAACCACAAGAAATGAAGTGACACGTGTGTTTTTTGTTTTTTCTTTGGTACCAGGAATTGAACTCAGGACCCTGAGCTTTCCAGGCAGGTGCTGTGCCTCTGAGCTGTATCCCTGGCAAGTGACATGTTTATGCTCACACAAACAACAAGTGGTCAAATGCTGCTTTTGACACAGTGCTTTCCATTATGCGCTCGTATGTGTGTATATATAAATATATATATATATATGCATTAATAATGTGACAGTCAATTTACAAACAAACAAACAAACCCTAAGAGCACAATAATTAAGGAAGAGAGGGAGACAAGATCTGCACAGGTCCTATGTTTGGCTATTTCTTGAGGCAGTGCTGGCTTTCTTTGTCTTCACTGAATTTGAACACATCATTGAGTGAATCACCGTGTTGCTGACATGCATGAAGCAGATCAAGTATTTTATTTGATTGATTACTCAATGACAGAATCATAAAGGTTCGGTTTGGTTGTCATTGTGAAACCAGGCAAAAAGAGGTTCATTGAGACACATAAACATGCCAGCATTACTCAAAATATAGTTCTCATTCATGCACAGAGAGAAGCGCATAAAAACGTCTGGGTTAGATATAGAGAAGAATATGGATTGTTTGGAAAGAGAAAGTATAGGATCTTTGCCTGAACACCAAGCTACCTGTTACATGGTAATTATTTTCAAATTTTGACTCATATGAAGAGTGGATTTGATATTATTTTCTGCTTTTAAGGGAGGAGATCTATATCTATATCTATACTATCTATTTCTACATCTGCAGCTATATCTATATAAGGGAGGGTATATATATGAAACCGTGATACTTAAGACTTGACTTTGCTATTCGGTAACTGTAGACACAAAGCTCTCACCATGATACCACAATTCCTTTCAGTAAATCAGATCACGCCTCATTCTCAGCTCATGACTGGAAAAAAAAGCTTATTCTTAGTGTTATCAGAATGTCACCCAAAAGATTCATAAGATCAGAGGCAGGGTTTTGGATAGGTGACTGGGTCAGGGGATCACTATACTCATCAGTGGATTAATCTGCTTATTAGTTCTGAGCGGGATGTGCTGTTAAGGGGTTGGGCTTGGGTGGAAGAGGAGGGCCATGGAGGAAAAACCTGGAAGGCTGTATTTCCTTACCAAGCTCCTTCTATCTCTCTCTGCTTCCTGGCTGCCAGGGCATGAACAGCTGTCCTTCCTTCAGGTCCTTCCATCGCAGCATTTCTGCATTGGAGCCAACTGGACATGGAATGAAATTCTTGAAACTATAGCCTAAACTATAGACCACAATAAGTCTCTCCTCTTTTAAATTTTGGGTGTCAGGTATTCTGTCCCAGGGAAGAAGAAAGTGACAAAGACATAGTGAAGCTTGAGTCTTCCAAAGTGATCCTCTGTTGAAAAGAGGAAGAAAAACACACTGAGTCCTAATGTAGTGTATTTCATTTTATATAACATAATCCCATTTAGTTATCCCACAACTCTAGATCATATATGTGATAACTCCCTACTTTACAGAGAAGAACATGGGGCTTCACAAGTGTTGCCCTATCTCTCATTATAATCTTTCACAAATTAACATTTCTGAAGATTTTTGGAGTAAATTTTTCTTGATGACTTGAGAAAGATAATTAATCCAGGAAACAAGAGCATTACTGAACTAAAGGCAGTGATGCAAACTGTGGAATACAAAGAAAAAGAGGGACATAAATACAAAGTAAGAAGTATACCTTAAAAATGTCTAATGCATGGAAGCATTTTATGAAACATATACATGTGTGATGGGCACATGAGTGTAGCAAAGGGTCAGAGAATATCGTAGAAGACAGTGGTTCACTTGACAATGTTTTTAAGAGAAGATATTTACAACATGGCTTACGTATCTGTAACTGGTTGACTAAAAATTATTAGTCTATCTATTTTGTTAGAGTACTAAGAAAAATCCAACTAGTTATACAAACTAGCTTTTCCCTCCTTTCTCATATTTTTGAACATTTCACTTGGATTCAGAAGTCCTACAAGCACTTATGTGTTAGGACCTTGCTGCAGTTTGCATCTAGATATCCCCCCAAAACCACTTGCAGCCATGGGTGTGTGTGGGCTTCTAGAGTTTATGATTGATTCATGGTCCAGTGTTGGGAATATAAGTGTGAGTGACACCGCCATTCCAGAGTGAGCAGCCTGCATACAATATAAGGGAGGGAAAGAAGCTTGCTCGCTGCTCCTCCCTTTTTGCTCTTGTTGCTTCTTGCTGTCCTCTGCGTCCATGAACTGTTGCCCTCTGCCACGTGCCACCCTGCCTTGGACCCAGCCAAGTATGGACTGAAACCTTCATAAACTGTCAGCTAAATAAACCTTTCCTTCCTTAATTTTAAGTGTCCGGTATTTTGTCTCAGCAACAAGACAGAAAAGTAACCAAGACAGCCATGTCCAACAGAAATGAAATTTAATCTCTTTCAATGGCTTGAACATATCATCCATTGTTGCTGCAGTTGAAAATGTTGACGTTAAAAATGGGTAATTGAGAATGGCAAGTGCCCATCACCCCAGCTATTTAGGAGACTGAGCTGAGAGAATTGTTTAAGCCCAGGAGTTTGAGAAGAACCAGAGAAAA